AGTCTAGCTATAAGTATTTCAATTTTGTTCATTTTTTCAAAGAAACAACTTTTGCTTTTATTGATTTTTCTCTATTATTTTATACCATTGATTTCCACTCTAATTTTCATTATTTCATTCCTTCTTGTTTTGAGTTTAGTTTTCTCTTCTTTTTTTCCTTTAAGAAAGAAGCTTAGGTTATTGATTAGAGATCTTTCTTCTTTTCTAATAAGAGTCTAATTGGAGTCTAAGGCTATAAATTTCCCTGTAAGCACTGCTTTTTTTTCCTCCCTAAACAATAAAAAATTATTTTCTCACAGTTCTGGAAGTTAGAAGCCCAGATTCAAGGTATCATAGATCTGGTTTCTCCTGAAGCCTCTTTCCTTGGTTCTCAGATAGCCATCTTCTCGCTGTGTTCTTACATGGCCTTCCCTCATGGCATCCCTAGCATCTTTTTGTATGTCCAAATTTCCTGTTTTTGAGACTTTTCTAAAGAGGAGTTTAAGGTTCACAACAAAATTGAGAGGAAGGTTTCCATATGCTCCCTTCCCCCATACATGGATAATCTCCTCCACTGTCAATGTCTCCCACCAGAGTGGTACACTAGTTATAATTAATGAACCTACGTTAATACATTGTAATCATCCAAAGTCCATAGTTTACATTATGGTTCACTTTTCGTGTGCATGTATTATGAGTTTGGACAAATGTATAATGACATGTATCTATCATTATAGTATACAGAGTATTTTCACTACCCTGAAAATCCTCTGTGCTCTACCTATTCATCTCTCTTTCTCCTTTCCCAACCCTGGCAACCACTGATCTTTTTACTATCTTCATAGGTTTGCCTTTTCCAGAATCGTATGGTACATGGCCTTTTCAGATTGGCTTCTTTCACTTATCGATAGGCATTTAAGGTTCTTCCATGTCTCTTCATGGCTTGATAGCTCATTTCTCTTTAGTGCTGAATAATATTCCATTGTCTGGATGTACCACAGTTTATATATCGATTCATCTACTGAAAGATCTATTGGTTGCCTCCAAGTTTTGGCAATTATAAACTCAGCAGCTATAAATCTATGCGCAGACAAAAGTGTCGACATAAGTTTTCAACTACTTTAGGTAAATAATAAAGAGCACAATTGCTGGATCTTATGGTAAGAGTTTTGTTTTGTTTTGTTTTGTTTTGTTTTGTTTTGTTTTGAACTACCAAACTCTTCCAAAGTGACTGTATCATTTTGCATTCCCACCAGAAATGAGTGAGGGTTCCTGTTGTTCCACATCCAGCTAGTATTTGGTGGTGTCCTTGTTACAGATTTTGGCCATTTTAATAGATATTTAATAGGTACTGTTATTTAACTGTTGTTTTAATTTGCAGTTCCTTAATGACATATGATATGGAGCATCTTTTCATATGCTTATTTGTCACCTGTATATCTTCTTAGGTGAGGTGTCTCTTAAGGCCTTTGGCCCGTTTTTTAATCAGGTCGTTTGTTTCTTATTGTTACATTTTAAGAGTTCTTTGTATGTTTTGGATAACAATTCTTTATTAGATATGTCTTTTGCAAGTATTGTCTCCCAGTCTGTAACTTCTCATTCTCTTAACATTATCTTTTGCAGAACAGTAGTTTTTTTTTAATGAAGTCCAGTTTTTTACGGATTGTGCCTTTGGTGTTATTGCATATGTTTTTATATATTATATTTTCATTTTTATTCCATTAAAAATAGTTTCTGATTCCCTTATGATTTCTTCTTCTACTCATGGATTATTTGTTTAATTTCCAAATATTTATAGATTTCTCAAATTTCTTTCTGTTGTTGAATTCTAGTTTAATTCTATTATAGTCAGAACACATACATTAATGATTTAATCTCTTTGAATATATGAGACTTGCTTTATGGCCTAGCATATGGTCTGTCCTGAAGTATATTATATATGCACTAGAAAAGAATGTGTTATCCTGCTGTTGTTGGGTGGAGTGTTCTATAGATGTAAATCAGTTAAGTTGGCTGATGGTGTTAGTCAAGTGTTTTTATATCCTTACTGATTTTCTATCCATTATTGAGAATGTGGTACTCAAGTCTCCTATTGTTGAATTTTTTACTTTTCAATTTTGTCAGTTATGCTTCATGTATTTTGGTGTTCTGTCGTTGGTATGTGTATAGTTATAATTGTTGTTATCTGCCTCATAAATTGACTCATCCTTATAAAATACTTCATGTTGTCTCTAGTAACATTTTTGTTTTAAAGTCTATTTTGTCTGATATTAGCATAGTCATTCCAACTCTCTTATGGTTACTGTTTGCATGGTATATTTTTTTCTATCCTTTTAGTTTCAACCTGTTTGTATCTTTGACTTTAAAGTGTGTCTCTTTAGTTGGATATTATTTTTTTCAGTGTGACAATTTCTGCTTATAATTGGAGTGTTTATTTATGTTTAATATGATTGTTGATATGGTTGAATTTACATCTCTCAGCTTGCTGTTTTCCATTTCTTTTTCTCTCTTTTTTTTGATCTTCTTGTTTCTCTTTTACTGCCTTTTTATGCAAAATAGATATTGTCTAAGGTGTAATTTTAATTTGTTTTTGTCTTGTTTTAGTTACTTTCTTAGTAGTTTCTATATTTTAACTCATTACAATATAGAGTAATAACTTAATTCCAGTTATGTATAGCAATTTTACTCCAATAGAGCTCTATTTTTCTTTGATTTGTGCCATTATTATTCTAAATATAACATCTTTGTATGTTATAAGCCCAACAATACAGTTTTCTAAATTTTGTTTCATGTAGCTCTTATTTAAATTAGTTAAGAGTAATGAATATTTTTAACTATCTTTTTTATTTACCTATGTAATTACCTTTACTGGTGTTCTCTCTTTCTTTGTGTAGTTTTGTGTCACCATCTGGTGTCATTTCCTTTCAAACTAAAAAGACTTCCTTTTTTATTCCTTGTAAAGCAGATTTTCTCATAATGAATTCTGTCCTTCGTTTTGCCATGAAGGTTAAATTTTACTTTCAGCTTTGAAGGATAAATTGCTGCATACAGAATTCTTGGTTGACATTTTTTCTTTCAGCATTTTGAATATATCATCCCACTGTCTTCTCACCTTCATTATTTCTCTTAAAAATTTAGCTGTTAATTTCATTGTGTCCCCTATATGTGAAGAGCCATTTCAGTTCCAACATTTCCGTTTGATCATTTTTTAAATTTCCGTTTCTATATTTGATTAGTCAGTAAAATCATACTTTAATTTTTATTGTTCTCTTTAGTTCTTTGAACATATTTATAATAGCAGTTTTGAAGTCCTCCTTATCTGCTAAGTCTAACATTTGGGCCCTCTAAAAGAGTTTCTATTTGCTACTTTTTTGTCTTATTTATGAGTTACACTTTCCTATTTCTTTGCATGTTATAAGTTTTTGTTGTTGAAAACTGTACATTTTAGATAATATATCGGAACAAGTCTGAATTCCAAATCCTCCATCCTGGAGGTTATATGTGTAGTTTTTTGTTTGTTTATTTGTTTGTTTAATGACTTACCGGACTAATTCTGTAGAGTCTATCTCCCTCACATTATGTACCTGCTGATATCTCTTAAGTATTTTTATTTTTTAATATATTTATTTTTAAGGCCAGCTTTCTAGGGGTTGCCCCTGAGTCAACATAGCTTAAAGGTGAGACAGTGTTTGATCAGAGGTTTTATTTACCTGGAGCCAGTAAGGCTTCCACCCTTTGCCAGTGAATCTGTAGGTGAGAAACACATTAAAAATTTAAGCAGTTTATAAGTCTGACCAGCTTTTACTTTCTGACATGACTTCTCATATCTTCATAATGTTATGAATGATGTGAATGAAGGTTTCACATTCATTTAGGAATGCATGGAGAGCTAGCGCCCTCTCCAGTCTCTCCTGAGCATGCACAGACTTCCAGACTACAAGGGATATATTTGAGCTTGTCAAGGTCCACTGTGGCTATCTTATTTCCCAAATCTCCCTGTTAAATTTCTTGCAAGCCCGCTGGTCTTTTTCTTGCCCCTACCAGTATCAAAACCTCAAGCTTGCCTAGATGTCTTTCTGGGACATGTGCTTCATTCCAAATCAAGTTAGCCCCCTCCAGCAGTGGACCTGCTGGTATTTAGGAATTTCCTTGCCCCTTTAGAACTACTAAGTTAAGAAAAACTGGGGGAGGGGGTTTTTGCTCTAAATTATTTTACTCAGCCACTTTGTTGTTATTAAACATTAAGTTTTTTTTCTAACTTTTTATACAATGTCCATATTTATGAAGCTTTCCTTGTTTACCATTTGTATAAGTTTCTTAAGCCTATCATAATAAATTACTATGAGCTTGGTAGTATAAAACAACAGAAATTTATCCTCTTATAGTTCAAGAGACTAGAAGTCTGAAATCAAAGCATCTCCAGGGTTGATTCCTTCTGGAGGCTCTGAGGAAGAATATATTCCACGCCTCTCTCCTGGCTTCCGGTAGCTGCCAGCAATTCTTGGCGTTGCAGTGTCACTGCAGTTGTTGCTTCCATTGACACATGGCCTTGTTTGTGTGCTTGTGTACTTCAATCTCCCTCTCCTTTCTCTTATAAAGACATCAGTTATTGGATTTAGGGTACACCCAAATCCCATATCACTTTATCTTAACTAATTACGTCTTCAAAGACTCTGTTTCCAAATAAGGTCACATTCTGAAGTTCTCGTTAATGGGAAATTTAGGGGGACACGATTCAACCAGTAGATTATTCATTATAAAGTACCTCTTGAAAATCAGTATGGGCTTTCTGTCGCGGATTAGGAGATCTTTTGTGAAGATTAGTTTGTGAATGAATAGAATGGTAAAATGACATTTGACTTTTTTATTGGGGTAGTTCCTCAAGTTAAGCTAGCTCACACCCTCTTTTTGGTTATTGTATTCACATTGTTAAGAAAACTTCAGAGAAATCTGTAGACAGGAAAGGGTTGGCAGAGCCTCATCCTTCTCAACTCTGACTTGCATGTCTGCTTTTAATCTAGAGCCAAATAACTATCGGACCATGCATGGCCGGGCAGTAAATGGCAGCCAGTTGGGAAAGGATTACATCCAGCTGAAGAGCCTGTTGCAGCCCATCCGGATTTACTCCAGAGCCAGCTTGTATGGCCCTAATATTGGGAGGCCCAGGAAGAATGTCATCGCCCTCCTAGATGGGTAGGTCAGATTATTTAGCAGTTCTTATAACATTGTTCATTAAACATAATGAATCGATATATTTGTATTTTTCCTGGTTATTTTTGTCTTAAGAAGGAAAGAGAGAATTTCCATAGTGATCTCCCCTACTCTAAAGCAGGGATTCTCCATCAAACAGTGGAATAACCTTTCATCTCTCCAGGCCTTCCACAGTCAGCAGACGGTGGTGGGATTGTAGAGGAACATCACAATCTCCAGGATAGGTTAGAAGGCATGCATTGTTTTAAAAAATACATTTAATATTATAGCATTTCATAGCATCATTTTAGATTTTTAAAAAAGCAAAATATTGTCTACTCTGTTTTTGTGTCCTCTTACAGAAAATAAAACTTGACAAAATCCTAGCCAGTGGAGCTAGGTTAAAAAGTTGAGAAACACTACAAATACTTATAGATTAAAGCACAAATTAACCAATAGATTAATTAGCAGATATTCTAGAGAATTGTTATCATGTGATTTATTTCATTTTGACTGAATCTAATAATTATTTTTTAAAGCACTGTTAAATACTCTCTGACCCAGTCCTGCTGCTGTTCTGGGCCCAGACTGAATAGTGGGTATAACCCATCCGTGCAGGTTGGGTCCAGTTATGCAGGGTCAGAGAGAATGTCAGAGGAAATAGCATGAGGAAGGCTAAAGATGTATGTTGAATCCAAGACCCAAAGTGGAAATATAACTGAAACTGGAAAGGTGGGAACAATGAAGTTGGGAGAGCCAGGAGTTCCTCTGGAACACATAGTATGCATCAAGACAATACTCTTGGATCGATGTATTTATTCCTGCAAATACAAAGATGGGTAAGACACTTTCTGGTGAAGTGCACAACCCAAATTAAATGCCACGTGGGTACAAACAAAGTTATATGGGGAGAGAGAAAACTTTGGCCAACCTCCCAGATAGATAGTCCTTGTGGCTTGAATGCTCTTGTGACTCTCTCCTCCTTTCTGTGGAGGCTAGGTCTTGATTGAAGAAAATGATCATAGCAGATATTACTGAAGGTTTGGGAAGGCAGAAGGATTTACACTGTAACAACAATGACAACTTAAAATTTAATTTTAGGCATTTTCCTCTTTACAAAGGATCTCAAAGTCCTTACTTCAGCTTCTGTTCTTTTCCCATTCTTCTCCTTTCTCCCTTTTTTCTTGCAGAATAATTTCATGACCTTGGCTCCTACCTGCAAATGCAGCTCTGGGCTTCCCTTTGCATACTTTCATAGAACTTTGAAATTACTCTGTATGTGTTTGTGTACTTGTGTATGTGTGTGTGCCTGTGTACATATATGTATGGGATGGACATGGAAAGGTTGGTCTCATTTTATATGTTTAATTAGGAAATAAGAATCACACATGTTAGAACTTTATTCTCAGAATCAAGTCAGTAACTCTATTATTTAAGTCCATGTGGTTATTCTTTTGGATTATCCTTTTTAACAATTCGATTAATGTATTCTCATGGGACTGACAATGTCCTCTCAATAGCAAGACCCTATATCAATCATCCATTCATTCTACAAATATTTTTTGAGTAACTGACATGTGCTGAGTACCATATTAAGAACTGGGTATGTAATAATAAACCAAAATGGATGCTTCTCTTCTTTCATGAGACCAGAGAAAACCACTTAGGGCAAGGAAAGGTGCCGGTGAGCACTTTTTCTTTATATGCCAGGGAAAAAATGGAGATTTATCTTTCTTAATCTATATGTACTTAATATACAGTGAACTATAACTTGAAACACATAAATATTCCCAGCAGCTCAACCAACAATAACAAAAATACCAACACTCTAAATTACCAGCTCTGTGGTCTTTTCTAATTCTCCTGGTTGTACAGATATAATTTTACAGATTCACAATCATTGCATATGCGTCATTTTGAGTTCTGCATGTTTTACCCATTGCTTTATATTGCCCTTTCTTTATTCCTACATAGTTCTCATATTTGTCATTCTTGATGGCAATAAAATATTCCATTGCTTTAATATACTAAAATCTGCCTAAGCATTCCCTTACTGTTGGGCATTTGGGCTATTTCCGTTTTTGTCTGTAATATATAGCACAGCTCTAAACGTCTTTATACAAATAGGTTTTTTATTTCTTTTGAATTACATCCTTGGGCTGCATTCCAAAAAGTTGGGTCTCTGGATCAAAGTATGTATATGATAATTTTTATGGCTCTTATATTTGTTGCCAGATTTTTTCAGAATGATTTCACCAGGTTGCAGGGCAGCAATGTACTAGTGAATCCTCCCCGCCGCCACACACTCCCGCCGCCACACACTCCCGCCTCAATACTCCTCAGCAATGGGCATTGTCACTTTTATTAATTTAGTCTATTTTAATTAATGCAAGATTGTGCCTCGTAGTTGTTTACATTTGAATTCTGTTAACTGTGAAAAGAACTGAACATTTTCCAAATCCTTATGTTGTCTCCTTTTACCACCTCAGGTGTGGTTCATGACACAATAACCATTTTGCCTGAGGTGAAGACCAGGAGGCCATTTTAGGTTTATTCTTCTCCTTTGTTCACATAACTCCATTAGTTACTTATTAAGTTCTGTTATTTCTGACTTCTTCGTATATCACTCATATCCCATCTTCTTTTCATATTTATTTTAAGCCCTATCATTTTTCCTCCTAAATGATTTCTCCATATCTAATCCCAAATTCTAATAATTTCTCCTTACAGATTTCTGAGTCGTTTTTTAAAACATGCAACATATGGTCAAATCACTCTTGCTTGAAATCCAAACCCTTTCACACACATCCCTTGCACAATATGATGTTAGCTACATCAAGGTATATGTAAATTTTGAAAGATGCCATATACTTTTAATCTTTGCACCTTCACCTCTTTATCTTGTGTCATTTTCTTTGGAATACCACCCTTTCCCCTCGTTTTTTCCTTTCCAGTAGATCTTCTCTGACATTTTTATGCAGGATTTTTTATCTCCTCCTTTGTCCAACTATGGCACTTTGTTTATTTTTCTTATTTTTCTGCTGTAGCACTTATTGAATTGCTGATAATGTATTTATTTACATATCTGCCTAAGCTAATAGACTGTGGACTAAGATCAGGACTTGGCTTATGTTTTATTCATTCTGTAGCCTCAAAACCTAGGAGTACAGTTGATTTCTTATAAGTGCTTGTTTAATAAATACTGTCTTATTCAACAACTGGCTCTAAATTCATATGACCCCAAAACAGTATGCATAAATGTGATTGCGAAGCATTTTAAATCGTAGCATTAATAGTAATTTAAATAAATTATGGTGATTTATATAAATCATAATGTTTATCTTTAGTTTTATAGGGCAAAACTAAATTTTAAGCTTTTAACTTAGGTAGTTACAGGACTAAACAGGACCACCTTTCCAGTTAGGATACAAACTCCACTAGGACAAAGATAGAATCTTCATATTTGTATCTTCAGGGGCTAGCATATTGCCTGGAATATGGGAAGTATTTAATAAAATGCTTGTTTTATTATTTTTTTATTTCCTAATTAGGAAAACAATTATTCTAGTCATTGATTTTTATCTAAAGGCATAAAGAATTGTTCTTTGGGGTTATATCAGTTTCCTCTGTTTTCCTTTTGTAAACTTTTGTGTATCATCTATGTAATGACAATTTTAATCTATTACTTTTTTATTAATTTGAAATATATTTTTATTGTTTCAGAAGTTTATTTTTATTATAATTGATCTTGCCTACTTTCTTGTTGATAGTCTTTGTTTCCTCTTTTATACAGTTGGGATAAAGTTACTCTTTCATTTTCATCTAGACTTTTTTAATATTTTAATTTTAAATATTAGACTCTTTTAATTTATTTAGAGTTTATTGCTATGTCTGCTATTGAGTAAAGACCTAGTCTATTTTTTGGTAATATCAAGAAAAGTAGATATTCATTGAAAGCATGTTTACTAAGGTTCCTTTTCAGGCCTTTAAATCATAGTGAAATGAATACTAAATGCCTTCTCGATAAATATTTATTGAAAAGTTATTTTGTGTTTTATTATTGCTTAAGTGCTGGGTATATGTTGATGAATAAAGCCAAGAGAGAGCCACAGTACATAAGAAAACAAATTATTATTAATTGTTTATACTTTCGTGAAGGAGATGATCAGGATACTTGGGACTAGGAGGTATTTGGACAAGGTGATCAGAAAGAATTATCTGAGGAACAATTTATTTAAGTCTAGAACAAAAGAATGAAGGAGCCATCTTTCTACCTAGAAGAAAATTCTAGGTAGAGGTTCAGAGTTGTGTTTGTCAATGTCTCGAATGAGAAAAAAGTTTAAGGCATTTGAAGAATAGAGAGATGGGCAATATAGTGAGCAAAAGGAGAATGGGAGGAGATGACTATGCATAGGCAAGCAAGGACCAAATCATTACTGGACCATGTATATCATCCTAAAGAGGTTGTGTATTTTATTCTATGAGCAATGGAAAGCCATTACAGGGATTTTCTAAGTGCAGTGACACATACTAGAGTCTACTTACCCTATTCTGTGTGCCAAATAGATTTTAAGGTACAAAAGTAAGAGATCAAAAGAGCTCAGTAAGGAGGATGTTTCAGTATGAAATGATGGTAGATTGGGTTAAGGTAATGGCAGAAGAGATGGTGAGAAGTTAGGGTAGACATGATTTATTGATGGATATCTCACCAAGATTGGGGTGAGAAAATGGGAGGAATTAATAAAGGATGACCTCCATCTTTTGAACAGTTAGCATCTCTCTTTCAAGTGCCATTACATGCAGACAAAAGAGCTTTTCAAAAGGAAGTTACACCAAAATGAAAGCACATTTCTACTCAGGATATAGTATCTCTGGAGTGATGGAAGATGGCTTTAAAATATATTGGGTATGCTTCAAGTTCAGGATAGTGATATGAGCTCAAGCTCCATTCCTCCTGGAACCACTATTCCAACTCCTAGTAAAAGTTAATAAATAACAAATCT